CTGGGAGTAGGTCTGGGGGTGAGGGTGTGGTTCTAGGGGAGGGAGTTCCTGGAAGCCCCTCAAGTGTGAAATCTCCCCCAGCTGCCTCCCAGGGAGGTGGTTATTAATTACTTTCCAGAGGGATGCAGCTTCTTGAACATCCAGCCCTGCTGCCTGTGGGTACCCTGGCTGGGGTGCCCGTCTTGGGGACGGGCTGGTACAAAGGTAGAGAGGGGCATGGGAAAGGGCATACACATAGACTTTCTTAGTCTTTTTTATAAAAATATATTTTATTGATTTTTTACAGAGAGAAAGGGAGAGGGATAGAGAGTTAGAAACATCGATGAGAGAGAAACATTGATCAGCTGCCTCCTGCACACCCCCTAACTGGGGATGTGCCCGCAACCAAGGTACATGCCCTTGATCGGAATTGAACCTGGGACCCTTCAGTCTGCAGGCCGACCGGTTAGGGTTTTTTAAAAAAATATATTTTATTTATTTTTTATAGAGAGGAAGGGAGAGGGATAGAGAGTTAGAATAGACTCTCTTAGTCTCTCTGTCTCTCTCTCTGTCTCTCTCTGTCACACACACACACACACACACACACACACACACACACACACACACACGGTCGCTCTGTCACTCAGCAAATCCATGAGCACTCATCATGGTTAGGTGTGGAGAAGGGATCAAGACTGAATCTGTCCCTGCCTTAGTAGAGTTCATGGGTAGGTGGAAGAGACAGACGGGGATCAAAATCACCCACAAAGAAATCATTATAGTCTGTGAAGGGGATGCATAGCTGGGCAGCTGGGTCAGGTTGGGCCTTCCTCCCACCATGACCTTGCCCCCCAGGATTCCCTCCCTAGACTTGCCCTCTCTGTCCCCCTGTGCTCTTGGCCTCTTTGTCATCTCCTCCTGGGGATGGGGTTTACTTGGCCCAGTGGCCTGAGCAGCTCAGCATACCCTCTCTCCCACATTTTCCCTCCTCCTGGCCAATGGGCCACCACATCAAACCTGACTATATGCACATCTGATGGCTGGCCTAAGGATGGACAAATGGACCTCTTCCTGGTCATCCTGTGTGGGCAGAGGGTCCAGATGAAGGGAGAGGAGAATTGAGCTCTGGCCATCTTGGACCCTCACAGCCGAGGGCCCCTGGGGAGATCCTATTGGGCAGAAGGGAGTTGCGGACACACGTTTCCTGCCCTGATCAGACAGGGCAGGATGTGGGTGACCTTCCTAGGATGCCCTCATGGCCTGGTCTTTTTGGGGAGGCCCCAAAGTCACTTTCACCATGTGACTCAGAAAGGGGAATCCACTGTCCCTAGGTCACACAGGAAGGAGCCAGAGGGGAGCTAGGGCTGGCCCCAATGTCAAGGGAGAGCAGAGGCAGAGGGCAGGAGCCACCCAGACATCCTGGGGAGGGGGAGGCCGCCACCCTGTGCGTGAGGAACATGAAGAGGCAGTTTCTCAAGTTTAACCTTCAAAAGACTCTGTAAAAGGCTAAACACAGCGACTGCCTGACCCAGCAATTCCACTCCTGGCTATATACCCAAGAAAAATGAAACATATGTCCATGCAGGGACTTGTAAATGAATGCTCACGGCAGCAGCATTCACAATAACCAAAAGGTGGAAACACCCCAAGTGTCCATCAACCGAGGAAAACATAAACAGAAGGTGGCTCATCCATGCGGTGGAACGTTAGCCCGAAGAAGGAACGCAGCCCTGACATGCTGCGACGGGGCTGAACCTGAAGGACACCGGGTTGTGCGAAAGCAGCAGCCACATGTTGTATGAGTCCACTGACAGGCAATGCGGAGAGCGGGCAAATCCACAGGAACAGGAAGTAGACGAGTGGTTGCTCGGGGCTGGGGAGGGGAGCCAGGGAAGTGACTGCTAATGGGTATGAAACGTCTTTTTAGAGTTATGAGTGTGTTCTAAAATGGACTGTGGTGATGGTTGCACAATATTGCGAATATACCAGAAACCTCCGAATTCCGCTCGTTAAGCGGTTGAATTGCATGGTGTGGGAATTACATTTCAATGAAGCTTGTTCCTTCAGAGTCAAGACTGGGGTCTCCTAGAAGGAAATAGAGCAGTGGTTCTCAACCTTCTGGCCCTTTAAATACAGTTCCTCATGTTGTGACCCAACCATAAAATTATTTTCGTTGCTACTTCATAACTGTACTGCTGCTACTGTTATGAATCATCATGTAAATATCTGATATGCAGGATGGTCTTAGGCGACCCCTGTGAAAGGGTCGTTCGACCGCCCAAGGGGTCGCGACCCACAGGTTGAGAACCTCTGAACTAGAGGCTCCAGGAGGCAGGAGCCTGAGGCCAAGTGCTAGAAGGCAGGGCTAGGAAGGCTGGATGCTGAGGGCTGCTCCCTCTTACACCAGGATGGGCCTCGGACTCTACCCCAGTTCTACCCCCTCCTCTACCGCTGAGCCTTTGCCCACGACAACTGGGATCCGGTCCTCCTGCTCCTCGCTTGCTCTTCGCCTCCTCCAGGAAACCTCCCTTGACCTCTCTGTTCAGATGCACTGCTCCTGGCCTCCCCTGTTTGGACATGTTTCCTGAAATACATTGTTATACGTTTTTGTTTTTTTTTCATAGCTTAAAGCAAATGGTCTGCACCTGCAGAATTTAAGATACGCTCCCCAACCCGTTCGGGCACTTCCCTTTGCCTGACCGAGCTGTGTGCCCACCAGATCTCCTACTATCTTCCAAGGACGTCCTGTTGTTCAGGCAGCTCCCCCAGCTGCTGGTACAACCCTGACCCAGCCCCTACATACAAGACATGAACATTCCCCCGACATACTGGTCTCAGCCCGCTGTGAGAAAATGTAGTAACATTTCTTAAACTCTCACAGCATCTCTTGGCCTGGCTCCTGTTGGCGCAGACCTAACACGCGCCACTCACATCCTTCCCCCAGTGGCCACTAGCGAGTGCCTACTGCGTGCCAGGCTGTGTTAGGCACCAGGCAACACTGGTGAACAAACGTTCCAAGGCTGTCATCCTGGGTGTCGCCACATTTGCACCCCCCCACGCCTGTCACCTGAGAGACATACGGTGGGTGGAGGGAGGGGATTAGTTGCCAAAGTCTCCACGCCAAGACTGCTTGCTCCTGGATGTCATCCTTTGCCCCCAGAGCATTCAGTGTCCTGTTGTTCTTGGTAAATTCCTTCTGGCACAGTTTCAAGCAGGTGTGTGAGTGTGTGTGTGTGTGTGTAGGTGTGTGTCGGGGGAGTGGCTAAGGAAAAGACATTTTCCTTATAGGAAACAGTGTGAGCAAAGGCTAGAAGGTGGAAATGACAATGCCTGGTGTGAGGCAGGGAGATGGAGGGGCCACCAGGTTTAATGCTGGAATTTGGAGCCCTGAGCGGCGGCTGCTGGGACGGTGGGTGGGTGCTGCGGGTGGAGTGAGACCGCACCAGGAGCCACCAAGAGCCACCCTGTCTAGAACAAATCCCGTTTTACGTACTTTGACCCTGCGTGTGCCAGCATGCACCCAGACACCACTGTGCCAACCACCCGCCTACGCGGCCTCTGGCTGAGTCTTGCCCTGACAGGCAGGTGCAGGCCTGGCATCTGGGACCTGGGCTGGGGCCCCAGTCAATGGTCTTCACCCCACTGGCCGTGCATAGCCCCCTCTGGACCGGGCTGCCTGTGTGTGGGAGCTCTGGAAATATTTGTGGGTCATGGAGGCTCCCCTGGCCCTCGGAGGCGTCCCAGGCGGCTGGGACTTGCCCAGATGCCATTAGGCCCAGATGCCACTAATAAGCAAAACCGACAGAGACTTCTGGGTATCGGCTGGAGAGGCCGGCTGACCATGAAGCCAGGAAGGCTGGGCTGGGACAGGGGTGGAGAGAGGACACGGGTCCATGTCCATCTCTACCTGGGACTGTGGCTCAGTCTCTCAGAGCCCGGCTCTCCTCTCAGCTTCCTCCTCTGTGCTGTTCTGGGGGCTCAGTGAACTCAGGGGTACATAACACTCTTGCACAGTGTCCAGCGCACGGGTCCCATCACTGTGAGTAAGAGCAGAACCTCACTGCCCCTCTGAGGGAGCTCCTAGGGCAGCACCCGGGCTCCTCCTCCTGGTTCCCCGCGCACAGGTCTCCTGAGCCTTCAGCTCTCCAATAGGAGCCACTGCCAGTGTCAGAGCCAACACCCGGGGGGACACCAGGTGGACCGGGCGGACCAGGCTACATAGACAGACGATGTGATACTATAGAAGGATCAGGAGACTGAAGCTTGAATTTCACTGGGCCCTTAGGCAAGACATCTGTCCTCACTGAACCTGTCTTCCCCACTCTCAAATGGTAATCATAGCCCCAGCAGGTTTGACTCAGTGGATGGAGCGTCGCCTGTGGACTGAGAGGTCCGGGGTTTGTTCCCAGTCAGGGCACATGCCTGGGTTGAGGGCTCCATCCCCAGTGTGGGGCGTGCAGGAGGCAGCCGATCAATGATTCTCTCTCATTATTGATGTTTCTATCTCGCTCTCTCTCCCCTTCCTCTCTGAAATCAATAAAAATAAAACATTTAAAAAATAAAATAAAATGGTAATCATACTTGGCTAACCCGCTCCAGCCACCAGGGCTGTGAATCTGATGACTGGCAAACCGACTGGCAGCGAGGTGCGCCCCATTTCTGCTGTAGGGCCCCATTCCTCGGTGCCCTAGGGCCCAGGTCTGTGCGCCTCCTTGGCTCACTTGCTCAGCTCGCGCACCTGCCACGCCAACCTGGTTGGCGAGGGGCGGGGTCGGCCTTCTAAGACCTGTGCTGGGGCCCCGCGGTGCAGCCCCGTCACTGCCCCATCCCGAGGGCACGGGGTGAAGACCTGTGGCCGGGAGGTCTGGAGCCCAGCGTCTCCCAGCGGACGCGTCCAGGTTTTCACGCCGCGACGTCTGTGGGTGCCCGCGTGGACCCGGTGGGACAGTGGCCGAGGAGGGGCGGGGACTCTGCTCGGGGCGGGGCATCCCGCCCCCGGCCCCTCCTTGCGCCCGCTCCTGGACGGAGCAGAGGCTGGACGCCGAGCAGAAACCCGGCGCCGCGGGCGGACCAGGGCGCGGACCGTGATGCGCGCCCTCTTGCAGCCCCCGCTCGCGGGCCTGGGCGCGGTGCGGCCGGATGGCAGGTAGCGGCGGCCTGGGCGGTGGGGCCGGGTGCGGCCAGGGCGCGGGGGCAGGGCCGGGGGCTGCGCTGCGGGCGCCCCGTGCGCCTCTGCTACTCGCCGCGCTGGTGCTGGGAGCCTACTGCCTCTGCGCCCTCCCGGGCCACTGCCCGCCGGCCTCCCGCGTCCCCATGCCGGCCCCCGCACCCGCTGAGCCTCCCTGCGTCGCCCGCAGGCCGGGGGCGCCCGTCCTGCCCGTGGCCAGTGGTCCCGGCCGCCGGCGCTTCCCGCAGGCGCTCATCGTGGGCGTGAAGAAGGGCGGCACGCGCGCCCTCCTGGAGTTCCTGCGCCTGCACCCCGACGTCCGCGCGCTCGGCTCGGAGCCCCACTTCTTCGACAGGTGGTACGAGCGCGGCCTCGCCTGGTACCGGTGAGCGCCGGGTCCTTCCGTCCCATCCGCCTCCGTGCGCGCCCTGGCCTGTGCCTCCCCGGAATCATGTGGTGCGCCCCTGGGGTACCACCGGGGTCGAGGCAGGGAGAGGTCTCGGGCATCGTGAGATATAATCAGCCTGGGTCGGGGGCGGCGGCGTGGGGGGGGGGGCGTGGAGCGCGGGGCGGGCGAGGCTTGGTCACTGGCCGGGAGCTCCAAGAAACTTTGAAAACTCCAGGGAAAGCCTTGGTTTGAGGCCGCTGAGAGGTCTCAGTAAGACTCGGGGAGGGAGTGCGAGCCCAGCTGAGAAGGAGCTTCAGGCTCGCGGGGTTTGAGGAGCGTTAGAAACTCTTCAGGCTCAGTCGCCCTCCCCTGCTGGTCAGTTACCCTTAGCAGGGGCAGTCTCCTAGAAAGGGTCTGCCTCCCAGACTCCTGATCCTGGGAAGAGGGATCCTCAGGGGTCCTGCGGGTCTGCAGAAGGTCTGGGCTTTAAGAGGAAGGATGTGCCTTTGAGTCAGTGCCCAAGGGTGGGAATTAGGACCCCTGCTTCATGTCATGGCGCTCTGTAGCTTTCCTGCCCCACCGGGGATGGCCTTGGGGTACGGTGTGGAATGTGGGGGAGCACCTATCCCCAGGTGAAACAGCCCCTCCCGGCTGAGGTTGGCACTGCCTGCAGCCTCATCAGTTGCACACAAGTCTGCCACCTGCCCTGTCCCTTCCTGTGGGGGAAATGAGAACTTAGAGATGGAGAGTGAGTCTCCCCACTCCCCCAGCTCTCACCTTAGCCCCAGCTTGGGACCAGCCTCCATGGGACAGAGAGGACCCTGCCCAAGGCCACCTGGTGAATTAGTGGGGAGTTGGGGGCAGCGGAACCCAGACTCTCCAGGTATCCTAGCTTCTCTGTACCCAGATTCCTCACCTCCACCCCCATTGGCTTTCTTGGCCTTTTGCCTTAAAAACCACTCATGGGTTTGGAAGAGTCCCAAGGAAAACAGGGGTCCTAGCTCCTGAGCTCTCAAGGGTTGCTGCCACCAGGGGACCCTCAGGAAGCTGAGTGGTGCTGGGAGGGCGGTGAGTCCATCCTTGAATCCAACTGGCTGAAATCTGGCATCAGAGCTCAGAACGCCACCCACTCTGACAGTGCCACTGGCACCCCAAAGCATCTCTAATACCTACTGCTGTGGAGAGGACAGAGAAGAGGGGTGGGCGGGGGAGTGGAAGGGGGTGGGACGGTGGAGGACACACTATAACTGTAGTGCAAACTCAGAGTCCATACTGATCCCAAGAACTTTGACTGTAAGAAGCTGGGGGAGACACTGAGCTGGGCTAATGGCGGGGGCGGGGGGAGGGGGGGAGGGATGCTGCAGGGGAGGCTAGACTGGGTTTAGCCCTAAAAGGGTTCTCAGAGTCAGGAAGCCTAAGGCCCCTTCCAGGCTCCGGGGTGCATGCTCCAGCTCTGAGGGACAGGTCCGGGGGGGATGAGGGCCTGAGAGGCAGTAAGCACGAGACCCAGACTGGAGGTCAGATCCTCAGCTCTGGGGTTTCTCAGGAACCAGGGATGGGAGCCAGGGCATTCAGGAGCGAGTCTAGCTCTGGTAGAGAAGGGACTTTCTCTTTATTTTTAGAGCCACTTCCACCGGGAGGAAGAGGGGGTGCAGAGGGGCATTCCCGGTGGCCTTGCCCCCTTAATCCGGAGCTGTCCCTCTGGGCTGGCTAGGGCCGACCCCTCATTGGCTGGTGCAGGAGCTGAGCTGGCTGAGCTTCTGGGGTGCCCTCAAAGGGGTCTGTCTCCCGGGGCTTATCGCAAGAGGGCTGGGTGCTGTTCCTACCTGAATTCTCAGGACACGAGATAGAGTGTGGGTGCAGAGTACCAGCGCATGTGGCTGTGTGCTGACATGTACAAGCGGCTTGATGTGCTCACGGGTGTCCTGTGCCTCTGGCCCTTTTTTTTCTTTCAACCTACTCGGAGTGTGCGGCGAACCTCTGAAAATGCGACCCCCCTTCCCCAGCTGCAAAGAGGGTGCCCAGCCCCTGGGCATGGTCTGCTGGTGTTGGCTCTCAGGACCCTGGCTGAGCCGCCAGGAGTGCAGAGCCCTGCTCTGGGTGGAGGCTAGGGTAGTGAGGAAAGGAGGAGCGGCCAGTACCCCCAGCCGAGTTTCTGGGACACCCATCTCCACTGGGCTGTGACTGACCTCATTCCAGGCAGTGACCCTGGCCCTTCCCAGGGCCTTGGCAGGTGGGTTCTGGGCTGCCCAAAGTTAATCTTGGCCAAACTTTCCCTCGAACTGGGCTGCAGTTAGCCCCTTTCTCAGACTCTTGAGGGTCTTCCATCTTGGGGATTGTGACCTCCTGGTACCCCCACACTCAGTCAGCATTTTCTCATCTATTCGTTCAGTCACTGAGCATCTTCTGTTTGGCAAACAAGCACTCCAAGGTCTCATCAGGAGGACTCTCTTGTCTGGGGGCAGGTGAGGCTATACTTTGACCTTAGGCTTTGGGAAAAGCGAGAGGAGATAGGAGGGTGCAGGTGGGGAAACCCGCTTGGCTCCTGGGGCTAATGAGGGAGTGGGGTTCTGAGTATGTGGGGGAGGGACCTGGGCTTCTGTGGGGCTTTTCTCCCTGTGCTATCCCAGGAGAAGCTCCTGTGGCTGGGGACCAATGCCCTACCCCAGCACCCTATGGATCCACACGGGAACCCTAAGTAGCTTTTGCTCAGAACCAGGCCTGGCTGGCTGGGGCCCAGGAGAGATGTGGGACCTAAGGGTGGATGAGACCAAGGAGGGAGAGGAGTCTGGGGCTGGATGGAAGCCGCAGGGAAATGCAGACCAGATGCACAGGGAGGAGCCGGAACAACTTGTCAGATGTTTGCTGTGTGGAGGTCAGAATCCCGTTCCTCTCATCCCCTCCCCTGTCTGCATCCCCCCACCCCCAAACCTCCATCCCCACCTCCTCCATGTCCTGTCCAGGACAGGCGTCTGAGGGCGGGTGAGGATAATAAGTACTAGTAATTGGTCCCAAAGATCTCTGATCTCAAAGCTGGTTTGTGGTAGGAGTGGGCCTGGAAAATCTGCGGTCCATCCCCATTCCCATCCCCCTTCCACAGGGTTCCGGAAGCACCTCCCCCTCTGCTCCTCTGGCTTCCCTGGTGTCTTTCCTTGCAGCTTCCTTCCCTCAGGCAGGAGGGTGGGTTGGGGGTGGGGGTGTTCCGAACCCAAAGTGCCCAGTTTGGGTGGGGAAAGAGGATGTGCTTCTGGGGTCACTTGTTCCCTCGGGGGAGTAAGGGATGGGAAGGGGGTGTCCAAGGGGGGGGGGCAGGGCCCAGGAGTAATGAGGGCTGGCTCCTTCCCTGAGGAGGGCCATGAAGGGAGGGCAGTGATTTCTGATCCACCTGGCAGTCCGTCTGTCCCAGTGGGGAGACTACCCGTCTTCTGATTCCTTCTTGGGGAAAAGGGAACCCCCTGAGCTGGCTACTTCAGGCTGCAGCCCTTGTTAACACCCGAGGTCTCACTGAACTTATCCCAGGAGGGCTGGGCCTGTATTCCCAGGACACCAGGCAGGGCATGGGGGCAGGGCCTCCGGGAGCAGAGGCCAAGCTGACACTGCCCCTTCCAGCTGCTGCAGCCGAAGGGTGGGAGTGCTGTGGTCGTGTCGACACCCCCCTCGAGCTTTCCACTCCCTCTCTGAGCGCCAGTGTGCCTGCCTATCACATAGGGCAGTGAGTGGGTTGGAGGGCGATTTCCAGCTTGCTTTGTCACCATGATGGGGAAGCAGAATAGTTATCCCTCCCTTTCCTGTGACTTCTGTAGACCAGCTCTGCCCAGGGCCTTGTTTTGGGGGGTGAGGGAAGCTCCCAGAGCCTGAAGACCATCAACTCACCCATCTCCCCCGAGGCCGTAGGTGGTGTCAGGGGAGCCACTGGTACGCCTGGGGTTCACCCCAAACACGCTCTAAGCCAAGCACCCCAGCATGTGGGTCTGCACACCTGTGTGTTCACCCAGCTTGAGTTTCATGGGGGCTAAGGAGGAAGAGGAAACTGGGGCCCTGCCTGGGGGTCTCTTAGGCTGGGTGAAGGCTGGATGAAACCTGAACTTGCCCTGTGTATCACCTCCTGGCTGGGGCCAGACCAGGAGGCCGGATAGTGGGGGTAGGGACAGTCCCCTCAGGGTAGGGCCTTGGGCAGAGACTGCCCCCTCTGAAGGCACAGGTCCCACAGGCTCTGCCTCCATCGACCTAGTTTCCAGCCCTCTCTCAGGTCCTCCCTTGGAGCTGTTTGCTCAGCTGGCCCTGCCACACCCTGCCCGCCTCTCCCTGCGGTACCTGGAGGTGAGGCTTGACCTTGGGAAACTGCTCAGTGTACCTGCCTGCCCAGTGGAGTGCTTGGAGGGGCTTCCCCAAGTTTGGGGCAGTCAAGGGGCTGTCATCAGCCAACTCTCCCGGAACCTTGGTCAGTGCCCCACTCCCCTAATCAGAATGAGAGGAATCATCAGAAATGCTGCAGTCACAGCCTTGCACCCTGGGGTCCGAGCCAGGTCTGGGAGGCCCTGACTGCTGAGCTCTTGGGATGGGTCCTCAGGCCACCTCACTCACTGTTCCCCAATGTGCTGGGCTGTGCTGGAGGCTTGCAGCATTTGAGTTGGGCCCAGGTCAATGAGAACTAGCAGGCCTGTAATCAGAGGGGCAGGGGGCTCTGCAGGGGAGGGGAATGAGAAGAGCAGCTGTCCTTTGTTGGGACACTTGTCAATAATTAATGACCTAACTTAGGGGACAACTTCAGCCATTTAACCAAAGTGTGACCTGGGGTAATTACAGTGCAGGGAGGGGCCTGTGAGGTGGGGAGGGTGGGCAGAACCCTGTGGATGGCAAGTCTGGGCCACTGGCCCTACTGGTGCTTGGTCAGGGGTGAGAGGCACAGCAATGTCAGGGTTGGGGCAAGCTAGCTAGAGTGGGCAGCCTGGCAGGACAGCCTCCCCACCCCCCGTTGGCCTGTGCTGGGGCGGGTGATCTCAACCCACCTCCCAGGCTGCCCATCTGGCACTTTAGGATGGGTGGGCCTGGAGGAGCGGGAAGTGAATCTGGGGTCCCTGGGGCTGGTCTATAATGGGAGGGCTTGAGGGGTCCAGCACCCTCTCATGCCCACCTCTTCTTCCACACAACCCGCAGGAGCCTGATGCCACGCACCCTGGACGGGCAGATCACCATAGAGAAGACTCCCAGCTACTTCGTGACTCTCGAGGCCCCTCGCCGCATCCACAGCATGTCCCCGGACACGAAGCTGATCGTGGTGGTTCGCAACCCCGTGACCCGGGCCATCTCCGATTACGCCCAGACGCTCTCCAAGACCCCGGGCCTGCCCAGTTTCCGAGCCCTGGCCTTCCGCCACGGCCTGGGCCCCGTGGACACGGCCTGGAGTGCTGTGCGCATCGGCCTCTACGCCCAGCACCTGGACAACTGGCTTCGATACTTCCCCCTGTCCCACTTCCTGTTTGTCAGCGGCGAGCGCCTGGTCAGTGACCCGGCTGGAGAAGTTGGCCGAGTGCAGGACTTCCTGGGCCTCAAAAGGGTCGTCACGGACAAGCACTTCTACTTCAATGCCACCAAGGGCTTCCCCTGCCTCAAGAAGGCCCAGGGGAGCAGCCGCCCCCGCTGCCTGGGCAAGTCCAAGGGCCGGCCCCACCCTCGGGTGCCCGAGGCAGTGGTCCAGCGTCTGCGGGACTTCTACCAGCCCTTCAACCGCAAGTTCTACCAGATGATCGGCCAGGACTTTGGCTGGGACTGAGAGGCCAGGCCAGCCCACGCCCTGTCTGGGGATACTCAGTAACCTTAATTTATGCCTGTCACCCAGCCAAAGCAGGCTGTGTGCACATGCTGGGTAGATAGAACTATTTAAGAAATAAAGTCTGGAACTGTGTTCTTCCATGTGACCTTGAGGGTTGGAGGGTGGGGGCTGGAGGTGCCGCTGCGCAGGCAAATGACCATCACACCAGCTAACTCGAGCTAGCGGGCATTGTGAGAGTGCCAGAAGAGGTCTAAACTTGATACTTACACACCCCTCAAGATATGCCTGGCCACATGTCACAGATGAGCAGCTGAGGCTCAGAGAGATTTAGGGCCTGCGCAGGGACACACAGCATAGCTATGGTGACTCTGAAGGCCATCCTAGAGCTCTCTTCTCAGCCCTGAGACACCAAGCTGGGTTGTCCCGTGTTCCTGATGAGGAAACTGAGGTCCCAGCTTACCCATTTGAGAGGTGGGGCAGGGGTAAAGCTGGGTCTGCCCAGCTCTTTGGGCTGCACGCACGACTTGAGCTGATTTGGCATCCTGCTGCCCAGCGGACGTTCCCTCCCGGAAACCTTGTGGGGGTGCTGCACAGTGAGTGTGAGGTGACTCCTGCGTGTCTAACAGCCTCCTCCCAGGTCCTCACACAGCTCTGCCCTGCCTACCACAGGCAGTCACAGGTCCCATTCCCCAGACCCTGCCCATCCACAGGCCACAGGCCCTCACTGTCCCAGTTCCCTTGTGTTTACCCAGCTTCCTGGAGGGTGGGGATGGGCAGGAATAAAGGCTCATCTGCAGCCCAGCTGCCTGCTCAGCTCCTAACCTCGTCAGGCCAGACTGAGGCAGGCTGGGGTGCCTGTCTGCCTCTCTACCCCGGGAATGCCAGGCCCCTCAGTAATGACAGTTAACTGCTCCTGGCCACGGTGCTGTCTGCCAGGTAGCCACCAGTTGCACTGATAACCTCCAGGACTCTTTAGGCCCAGGCTTGGCACCCAGGCTGCCCGGGCCCTTGTAGGATCTGGCAGTGGCCTCTGCATCCCAGGCCGTGGGTCCATATCATATCATGTCATATCATATCATATCATATCACATCATATCATATCATATCATATACCTTCTCTTTAATCAACTTTATTTATTTATTTATTTATTTATTTATTTATTTATTATCTTTTTTGTTGTTGTTAATCCTCATCCGAGGATATTTTTCCATTGATTTTTAGAGAGAGTGGAAGGGAGGGAAAGAGACACAGAAACATCGATGTGAGAGAGAGACATCGATTGGTTGCCTCCCACACAAGCCCCGACCAGGGCCAGTGATTGGGCCTACAACCGAGGTACATGCCCTTGATGGGAACTGAACCCGGGACCCTTTAGTCCCCAGGTCAATGCTCTATCCACTGAGCCAAACAGTCTAGGGCCATATCATATCCTTGACTCTGCAGTGGTCTTCCCACCCTGGGCTACTTGAGCCACACCCTGTCCTGGGCCCCAGGGTCAGAATGAGGAGGATTTTGAGGGGAGTAGCGGCTTGTCAGTCACCACTCTCCTCTTTGGCTAGTGGCCCCACCAATCACCATGGCCACTGCCTTTGTCACATGACGCACCCATGGTGTGGACTTGAGTTCAGTTGATGTATGAGAAGAGCCACAGCAGAAGGTGCGGAGGGAGATGGGAACATCTGTCTCCAGCAGCCAGGAGACCTGTCCCTTGCCCTCCTAGTTCTAGACCCAGAGGACACTCCAGTCTGGAGCTGCCTTGAGGGACCAGTACTGTCTTCTAGGCCAACCATCCCGAGCAAGCCAGGAGCAGGGCTGGGGGCTGGTCCTAGTCACCTCGGTGGAACTGTGGCACAGATGGGGCAGGTGGGGGTGAGATGTACACATAGCCTCCTCCCCAACTTGGACCTGTTTACAATAACGAGGGTGCTGTGTTTTGGAATCACTGCTGGGTGGTGAGCACTTGTGCCTGGCAGCTCTGTCCCCATTCCCTGTGCTGGGGCCCTCTTACAGATGGCATGGCAGTGTGCCCTGGTTGGCAGGGGCAGGAGGGAAGCAGGGTAGCCCTGGCCCTGCTCCAGTTCCCAGCCTGATCCATGCATCTTTCTTTTCCCTGGACACACCCTTGTCCAAATGTCTGACGTCTCATGCCTGGATGGCTTCATGGGTCCCTCACTGTTCCCCTGGCGCCTCTTTTTTCTCCTACAACGAGTAGTCTGCATGCATGGTGGTCAGAGGGGTGCCTTCAGAGCGAGCCAGAGCCCATTATTTTAAAACACTCCAATCTTCTCCCCCAGCCCTGTTGCTTCTAGAATGAAGACCAGATTCCTCATTGTAGCTATCAAGCCCGCTGAAGTCCCCCCCGCCTCCTGACACCTGTGTGCTATTCTCACCCCTCAGCTTCTGCCCCTGTCAGGAGGTGCACACAGGGCAGCTGAGTTCTCTGGGCTTATTTCCTCCCTACAGGTAGAGTCCCTTTCCTGAGCTGCCCATGCAACCCACCTTTCCCTTCCTGAAGCTTCTTGGGTGCAGAGCTGTGGAACCACTAGTTTGTCTAACTTTGGGGCCCAGGCCAAGCTCAGAAGGCAGACTCTGGAAGCCACGAGTAGAAAGAATAAACTGGTTTGTTCTGCTCACCCCCCTCTCAGTGGAAACTGGGTCTAACCGCCAGCTCCAGTGCCTGGACCTCGGAACACACTGAGGGCAGATGTGGTGGGTCCCCCCAGCTGTGTGTGGGGGTGGGGCTCTGTGGGAGATTCATCAGCCTTTAATTAAAGTCCCTAAATTGCTTCCCCAGCTGCTTAGTGGGTTTTCCATGTTGGAAAGTTCCAGAAGGGGTGAGAAGTGCTGATTCAATCACCCTCTTCCTGTTCCGCCCAGTGGAGGAGAAGGGGCCAGGGACCCCTTCTCTACCCCTCCTACCCTAGCCTGACTGGAATGGAGTAGGTGGGGGTGGGAGTCCTCACAGCCCTGGGCGTCCAGGAAGGGGCTTGGGGAACCCTGGGAGGTGGCTTCCTCTACCTCGGGGGCCCTCGCCCGCCCAGACCTTTGGTTGTGGTTGGTGCAGGCTGGGGTCCATGGGACAGGCAGGTGGTTTGGGTGAGCACGGTGTTCTGCGCTGTGGGCTGTGTACCCTGCAGGCCTGGAAGCCCCGCAGACCCCTGCCCGAGGGGCCTGGTAACAAGCTGGAGAGAGGCATCAGGACCTGGATCCCACCCGATTGGCCTCCAAGTACTTTCCTAGCACGAGGCTTCAGAGAGTGCCAGCAGTTCGCCCTTAGCCCTTGTCATGTGCACGTGGCTTCCTATCCTCCTTCATGGTGGCCCCTCAGCCCAGGGCTGGGCCATTCTCCCCTTGGTCCCATTTGGCTTGGTCCCCCAGCCGGATTCAACAGCCCTTCCAAGCTTTAGATCAGCGGTTCTCAACCTGTGGGTCGCGACCCCTTTGGCGGTCGAATGACCCTTTCCCAGGGGTCACTTAAGACCATCCTGCATATCAGATATTTACATGACGATTCATAAGGGTAGCAACATTACAGTTATGAAGTAGCAATGAAAATAATTTTATGGTTGGGTCACAACATGAGGAACTGTATTTAAAGGGCCAGAAGGTTGAGAACCACTGCTTTAGATGGTCCCATTGGGGGGGGCGGGCGGGGAAAGGGGGGGCAGACTACAGATGAGAGGCGCTTGAGTGACAAGTGGAAGCCGAGCCAGCCTTCAAGTGAACAGAAAACTCAACAGTATAGGGACGGGTCAGAGAGGGAAGGTTCTGGGAGCTATCTATTAGTTCTCCATGGGCACGAGGGGTTCATTACGGATGCACAAGCTGCAATGTAACAGGATGAGATTACAGGAGGAGCAGTTTGGGGCCTAACAGTGAGAGGATGCGAAAGGGAACTGCACGTGGAGGCCACTCCTCTGCTGGGAGCTGCGCTGCTCCCAGCCCCAGGTGACAACAGAGGGTGGTCCTTTCACTCCTTTCCGGGGGAGGGGAGGCATCCTGCCCCAGCCTCAGTTTCCTGCCACATCTGCACCTCTCAGTCCTCGGCTGAGCAGTCGAGGGGGCCCCTGTGCAGATCTCCAGGACTCCGTCCAGGCCAGAGTCTAACTGCCTTGCTCCCCTGGGTGCCCTGGCTCTTCATCATGGGAGTTGCCCTCAGTTCCCCTCCCTGAACCTGGAAGCCATCTCTGGGCAGCAAGCCAGGGTGATGGTAGGACTCACCTTCTTACTTCCCGTCTCTGAGTGACTCTGTCCTATGCCGTCCAGGTGTTTGAAAACCTCTGTTTTGTTTTGTAGGTTTTGCCTCATTTTTCACTTGTTGCAGGCAAATGGGGAAATCCAATCCCTGTTACTCCATCTTGGCCTGAAGTGGAGAGTTTTGCATCAGAGAGAAAGACATGAAAGGCAGGACAGGCTTAGGGCTGGCTGGTTTGAAGCATTCCAGTGGCCGTGGGGCGCAGGGGCTGTCCCTAGCTGTCTGGTACCTGGTCCTGGGCGATTTAGGGCAGGGCAATATTGGGCTGGTGCGTGAGGGTAGGTAAGCGGGGTGGTGTGGAGAATAGGCTTCAGGAGATATAAACGAACATGTCTGGCTGGTAGTTTGCTCTGTGATTAATGGCCATCAAAGAGACACATGCAGAATCTAACAGAGTAAGAACACCAGCCTCAGGTCCTTCTGTGGCAGGAGCTGTTCCTTTTGGGACCCTGGCCCCTTGCCAAGCTGTGAACCACAGCCCCCACCCTGGGGGTTTGTCTCAGACATGAATGGTGCTCTGGGACATTCTGGGTCCCAGGCTGCTGGGGCCCTGGACTGGGCATCTGTCCATGGCACTGGGCCCAATGGCCAGGTGCAGCAGCTTGGGGAGACTGGATGGCAGGGGCTTGCCCTGTCCTAATGCCCCCCCACTCTGCACCCCCTCAAAGACTCTGACCTGCTCCCAGGGCAGAGGTGGTGAGTCCCAGGGTCTGTGGGACAAGCAGGGGGCACAGTCTGGGCTGGGCAAGCTGGCCTGGAATGAAGAGGTTTGATCAAAGCCCACCCCCCGGGGGGAGGGGTAGTGGGTGGGCATGAGGAAGCCCATGATGGCTCCCGGAGGCTGGTGAGTCCGCTGGGGTCCAGAGGCAGGGCCCA